CCTTTTATATTACGATTCGCATTTGATACAACGGCAGCGTAATTATATTAATGCCGTTTCTTACAAAATCAACAAATTAAACAAATATTTGGTACGATCAAAAGGCTGAGGCCTAGCATGATAAAGCAGTTTCAGTGCGAGAGTGTGCCTCTCGAGTGCCGTCTAGTGGCTGCTTCGGAATACACAAGGAATCCAGGCCGCGTTTCTGAATTTGCATCACTTTCCAAGCCCGTACTGCAATATTAGAGGACTGAAGTGAGGAACCGCCTGAAGACACAAATAACAGGCTAATTGCGATTAGCTTAGCGGCTAAATGGAACTGTAATTATAATTTGCCTTGCTGTCAAAATGTCTCAAAACAGTCTCTGCACTAGGTGTCAGATACACTTGTACCTGAGTGTTCATTGTTGATGTTTGGGATGCGCTATTTGCTTCACTTGTATGTCACTTTGGACAAGGTATTATTTATACCTGAAGATTGCGTAAAATTACCACAATGAGTGAATGAGAATAGACTAGTGAAAAATGGCCTTTAAGTGTGATGGATATCATGATGGCTTGAGTTCTTATAAGTTTTTAGGACAATAAAATGGCAACTGACCATATATTTCTCAACCACTTGTTTAGTACACGGTGAGGTGTCCTCTAGCTAATACCCAGACAGCATACAGGGCAAAGCAATTTAGAAATTCCATTTCAGCTAATGTCTTTAGTCTGTGGGAAGGAATCAGTGTCCCGGAGCGTTCAATCCCCCAAATCCGGAGGTGTCAACCAGGCAAATACACCATAATTAAATCCACATTGTGTACAGGGGGTGAATTCCAACTGCATGACATAAGGCCAATAAGGGAAGTTAATGGCTGAGTTATGGCAGAGTGAAATGAGTTCACAGGGCATGAAAGAGTGAATGGAACCGTTTCCTTCTTTTTCATATATGGGCCAGATTCCAGTCCCACTGCATACATCAGCAACATTTAAAGATTTTTTTTTACTTTTCATGATATAGAAGTCTTATAGGTCATGCCACAACTTTGAGTAGACTATCAGTATTTCTGAAAGCTTATAAAACATTTAGAAATTACAGTAAAACATAAATTGAATGCAAAAATATGCATTATTCTTCATATTTTCATGCATACAATAATCTTGTTATGTTCTACATTCTGTAATTATGCACATTATTTTCTACATTTGCCAAATGAGAAACATACTCGTGGGCTGACTCATAGTTACTAAGGACCTTGACGTACAATGACATGTTAATAAGTGCAAATTGGGAAGTATGGATTTACCCTCAGTCTACCCTCTGTAAATAAACAGTAGAATGACTTTATGTAACAAAAACGGCTTACTGCTCCACTCTGATGACCAGTCAAAGTGACCAGTCAAAATGCTGGGAAGGACAACTGGGCATGAGGGCTGACCAGTGCACCTGGCAGCATCTTTTCCTGGAAATCAGGTGGTTTCTGTTTCATGAACGTTGCTTTGAACAGATCTGAGGTGAGTTCTAAGAAACAGGGCACGTGCTCCAATTTGTGGTATAAAAAAAAACAACCAAAGCAATAAAACAAGCTGAGTTCTGGTAAGGGAATGGAGCTGTATATATGCTGCAGATACATAATGTGTGGTTTCGTATCATAGGTCATCTTTACCGCATGTAAATAAACACATTTACCAAACATCACACTACTTATTGTAGGGACTTTCTGTCTGAAAACACGCTTCCATGTTCAATTAGTTGTTCTCCCAGCTATTATTGCTACAAGATCCTGAGATCACCTGCATTTACCTTAAAACTCTCATCATAAAAACTTTCATGAAAATGCCATATTCTTTAAGTTGAGCTGCAATACTATTGGATCCATAACAGACACGATGGTGACGCATCGTACCCTGAACACCATTAGTTTGTACTATGGCCATCGGGAGAGCCCCATGAAAGTATATTATATTGGACCCCAATCCAGGCCAATCTAATTATGTTCCAAATTTTTTAGGGTCCGTGTCACTCATTGGCTCTTGGAATCATTCACCCCCCCCCTGCCCTTTACAGCACCTCTAGCTGCCAACAGGCAGAAGGTCAGAAGGTTCAGGACAGTTGAAGACCACACTACCAGACTCTAGAACAATTTTTACCCCAATACCATAATCAGGCTGATCTGGGCACTGAAGAACCCCCACAAATAACCTCTATGCTCCAAAAAAAGCACCAGTCAAAAATCTGGATACACCCGCTATTAATGCATTCGTTTGTATTTTAGTTGTTATTCATCGTATAGTAAATGGTCATGAAGCAATGAAGTAATACATATGAAATATTGTAACGACCAACAGAAGTGTTAAACATCTCAAAACTTTCTCTAGGTTTCAGACTCTTAGAAATAGCCCCCATTTGCTTTTGTGGCAGCATTGCGGACTCTTGGCATTCTTTCAACCCGCTCCCAGATGTAGCCACCTGGAATGCTTCTCCCACGGTCTTGAAGGAATTCCCACAAGTTCTGTCTCATTGCCGTGTGCAATGACAACAATAAAAAAGCTGAACTGAAGAATTTGCTCTGGGGGGAGAGGGATTCCCCAAAAAAAGTCCTACAGCTGCCTGCTCTGATATTTAGAATTAGAAATCCTTGAACTTTGTGCTTTAATAAGGATATTAATAAGAACAAGTTTATTGTCCCCGTGAGACAGCTTCAGACACCAGGAACTCAGCTACAACCGGACAGGAACTATCAATATTTATTTGCAGCTTCACCTATGTTCCATAAATATAACCCCCACGCCTGGCAGGATTGAGTGTTCTTATCGGCCATAAATGTAGTACATAATATGGAAGTGAAAAGAATTCAGTGGCATCTCTAACGTTCTTCTCTTATTCACAAATGGAAACTCTTATCTTGAGGGCAGCCTTCAAACTGCATTTCCTCTACAGAGATAGAACTGAAGCTAACTATACTGAGGCTGATATATGTGAAGCAGCTAACAATGGGAGTAACAGCTTTGATTATGGTGCACGTTCACCAATGCATTGTTTCCACTTCCTTATGCAACATCTCAGCATTTTTTTTTTTTTACATCCAGATTTTCTCATCATTTCTCATTCTCATTCATTTCTCATCGAGATCTTGCATTGATGATAGGAGAGCTGAACCACTCCGTAAAGTCTTCTCCAGCATATCTCAAAGACTTTCAGTGGGGTTAAAACTCCATGGTGGCCAGTTTGAGCTCAGTGAATCTTGGCATTATCATCCTGGAATATACCCATGACATTAGGAAAGAAAAAATTCCATTGATGGGATAACCTGCCCATTCACTAGATTCAGGTACTCAGCTGACTTCACTTTAGTGCTGCATACTGCTGCTAAGCTGTAATAATGATCCAATCATTACCTCCTAAATAATTGCTGATTTAAATTCAAACGGTGACTTTTATTTTTTTTAGGCCAGGCAGTGTAGCTATTACATAATAAAAATGTGAAAGTCTTCATACGCCCTAACATTACTGATAACGTCTTAGCTGAATCAAAATAATATGACGTTTATCTGTGAAAAAACCTGACCACAAAAGCTCACAAACAAAGATGAATATCTCTGAGCATGACTTGAAATTAGATGGTTTCCAGGAAGGTTTATGAAATATTATGTCTCTTCTTTATGGCAGTTGGACATGTTTCATGCACCGTGTTACGACAATAATAATTAGGGTAATTCCAAGAGTTGCACAGGGTCCTGGGCCAGAGATACTTACTCATGCCCTGGGCTGGTATTCCCCTGCAGTTTGAGAGCCAATCAGGTGCTTTGTATCTTCAATATACCTTAGGGAGTTCCCAGCATGGCAGAGGTGACCACAATCCACAGAACAAAGGCCAAAGAGAGAAAGCAAAACACGCTTCCACAGGTCAAAATAAAAAGCAAAAACATTTGCATATTTGCTATTTCTAGGTTTCTTTTCTTTTTTCTTTCTTTTTCTCCCCCATGATAAGAATGGGATTGAAGGTGGGCATGATACAATAATGTTTGCTGTCCCTCTAAAACTGATACTGAAGATTTTGTTTTTGATGGAAAGGCTCATTTTAAAAATAACGTACCACTTGATGAGGTTAACTTCCTCCTAGCATGAATTTTGAGACATACATTTATATCACAGCAAGCAACATATGAATGACCCAGACTTCCTTTGTAGTATGAGACAATGAACTGCGTGTAGGCGGTTAGCTTACACGTTATGGATTCCGTGATATTTTAATGGCTATTGTTTTTGTAGATGTTTTTACCCCTACACCAAAAATAAAGCCCCTTTCTACTTCCTGCCCTCCCACCTGGAATCATAATTACCATGATCTATAACCCAAATATGTGTGGCACATTTCATCGTGCCTCTCATCATCACTGTATCGTCACTCCAGCCTCCTCCTGTCTTCAGACTTGTGCAAAGTGCCACAATCAAACATCACACACGTCCGCCTAAATTAAATGTCCCTTTCTTGCCACATGTGAGGCCCCAGGCTTCATTTGGATAACTTTCAAATAAGAACAACACAAACTGTGAAATTATATTTAGGTAGAAGTCATGGCTGAAGATGAGTCAGTGAATATTACAAATAATTAATGGTTAGTCCACTAGATTGATCAATCTGGTAAACATCTGACAGACCTTGTGCCAGGTCCAATTATGTTTGGCAGTCCTGAGTTTGAAATTTTTTAATTAGCAAATCCTGAGCACCCACTTGAAACCAATGAAGGTTACTGGAGAAACAGGTGAAATTTCTCTCAAATTTACTTTCTTTGTGCAGTAAGGATTAAAATTACATAAAAATCTACAATGTACAACTACACTTTTTTATTTAGAATTATTTGAACAATTTCATTGTAACAATATACTTCATGGATCGGTTTAGGGTCAAACTTTTGAATGAACTGGTTTAAACCAAACCCAGACCAAATTTACAGGTGGTGAGGAACAGAACATCGGTATCAGAATGGCACGAAAAAAATAGACACAACAGTCAGCACTCATAACCTTCGCACATGGTGTTCATTTAATTAAATAAAAAAATACAACTTTAAAAGTGGTCAGTGTGGCAACAGGCTTGATGATTTTGAATCACCACACCCCAAGATGGTTTCAGCATCACAAAGCATTTGGCGCTTAGCCACTAACAGAATGAGAAGCAGTTTGTTTATTTTAAATAAATAAAAGATCCACTGAAGAAATGTTCAATGGCAGGTGCCAGTAAATTCAGCTGTAAATGTTGGACCAAAAGAAGAAATAAAGATGTCTTGCTGGATGATGACCTAGCCACATGACCTAGCCACATGACCTAGCCACATGACCTAGCCACACTGTCCCAGGCCTTTATTACTTCTCAACTACTTTAGGTTCAGAGAGCTTCTGAACAGCAAATTCATGCACAAGATCATCCACACACTTGAGGAACAGCGGCGTTGGTTCCTGTGAGGAGATATGGAAACATACGATGCAGTCACTGCGTCACAGTGTGCAGGTGGAGGTAGCACTTAAAACGGAACCTGTTCCTAGCTGCTTCATTCCTCTATCCATTACCTTGTGCTCCAGAAGCCTCTGCTTCTCCATGGCCTCCTCCAAACTCAGACCGACCCACTCAGCCTCCTCCTCAGGGATCACGAACTGCTACTTGCGTTGAGGGCGAGATATCAGAAATTTCATAGGCTTGAATGCAAATTCTGCCAGTACAACATGATGAACACCACACCCATGACACGGGATTCCTGAACAGTGTAAACTGTTCCATCCATATCATAACACCCTTGAAAGCGATGCTCTTCAGTGGTAAAACACTTTGAATGCCATTTTTGTTCTGGTTAGGGGTCTTAATTCTGCTTGTTTGAGCTGTTAATTTTTCATTTTTAAGACAGATTATACTGGCATGATCTTCCCTGCATTTTGCTTGAAGGATGAATATAAAATTTACTATTTGTTTCATTTTGGTAAATATAAAATCTATCATATGGCCAAATAAAGGGAAAATTTTATGTGTAATTCAAAAAAAGATACTAGTAAGTATGATCTAATCAATTCCCGACTGTATGCAATGTTCACCAATTAAAAAAAAAACAAACAAATAAACTAAAAGTTTAAATTGGTTCTAAATAACCGTCAATGAACAGCTTGGTCAAACTATTGATCAATCAGATACTCAAATGAATAAAAGCCAACAAGCATAATGTATTGCCAGGAGAACATCTGATCACCACTGCCATATAATAAACTGCTCCCTTAACATTAACGTGCGACCAACACTTCTTCGAATCAGACCAACAAGTCCCCTAGCTAAATGGTAGGTTATGAAAATACTACACACTCATCTTAAAGTTACAGTAACAGCAGCCCACCTTGTACTTGTCATAGATCCTCTCTCTGCGAACAAGATCTTCAGGGTACAGCTCTGTGTCTTTACGGGCCAAGCGGAGTAGCATTGCCCTCTTCAGGTCCATGCCAAGCTTGGAGTTCAGGTCAACTTTTGGGGTCTGAGCACAAAACATCGGGGAGAGGAGTAAACCACTGGACGTTCTATACCAGTGTTTACCAACCCCGTCCACTGGGAACCCCAGTCAGTCCATGTTTTTGCTCCCTCCCGGCTCCCATTAATGTGGAGCAAAAACATGGACTGTCTGGGGTCCCCAAGGAAACACCGTTCTATACTAATACAGAGAGTCAACAGATGAACAAGACCGAGGCCAGTACGGTATATTACTGCAAGAAACACTAGATAAAATACATATAACAATGTGCATAGAAATGAAACACGTGCAGCATCCTATTAAATAAGGCCCATATCATGCAGTGAGTTACATTTCTGGGAAACCGCCACCTTGAGAATATAGAAGTCAAAGCCATAGGCTGCGTCAATAAGGTCCAGGGTGCGCATAGTAGCTGTGATTCGAAACTTGTGGTCCAAAATTTCGCTGTATAGGTTTCTGTCAAACAACTGAGGCCTCCAGCATTTCTTCAGTCTAGTGGAGAGCTGTCAAATAAACACAATATACCATCGGATAAACATATGCCACTTTTAAACAGCACCACTCAGCTCATGTTATCATCTATGTGTGGAGGACAGATCGCCAGATTGAGAAGACCCACCTTATCGTTGTTGGCATACTTGTACCCCGACACCCACCCTTCTCCTCCCCACAGACCATTCTGTGACTCGGGGGGGTAGTAGACCTCTATTGGTACATCTTGCACACGTTCTCGGAGACCAGTTTTGGGATTCAATCTGTATTTAACCCCTAGAGGTTTCCAGTGAACTGGCGTAGGAGGCCGTGTCTCCTGCAGTGAGCGCAGGTAGTGTTCGGGTAAGCGTGCATATATCCCCTTCTTAAGTTTTAACGTTTCCCATAGCCGAGGTGCGTACTTGTGTAGGGGCATCCTTAGAAAGGCAACGAGGTTCACTGGAAAATAAAACAATACACCGAATTAGGCCGGATCTCACACGATTAGATGTAATGCAGGGTAGCATTATTTAGTGTTTGCATAGCCTGATGCGTCAACATAGCTGACCGAACCCCGTTAGGGCATTGTGCAAACTAGCTACATGGCTTTAAAATTTCAACTCATCCATTTTAAATAAATATAAAGAAACTTACCAACGGCACATGGGAAAGTCGATTAAATAAAACGACACAAGACAACTTCCGGTGACGTAGCCTCTCAGCCAAGGGCACGCGGTCATACTTCCGCGACGGCAGAAGCGCTCACGTGATCAGCCTGTACGCCGCTGTTTCCGCGGTGAGTGCTGGTATTGGTTACTCACGCTGTCAATCATGAATTTTTTAATATTATTGTGCAGCACTATATTATGCAAATACTGTAAAGGTTTAATGAGTGTAGCAGCGTATACCTGTCATAAAAAATTCGTATTTAATAGGCCTGCTTTAGTTGTAGCACACGGATAGATAATTAACCTGCCATTCATATATATACACACCATTTATTGAAGACAAACTCGCCCGAAAGGTGGAATTGAACCACTCTGCCGCTAGGCAGCTACAGGTTTGAAGCCTGCACCCCGGACCACCGAGGATCATCCGGGCATTATCAGAAGGTAACTCCTCGCACATATATAGGTCTATATGTAAGAACTTTTTCCCTTCACGGTTGATAACCTTGCTGATTAAAACACATAGTCGTAATATTACAATAATACAGCGATAATGATATCGGCCTTGTTATAATTGTCCCGAAAATTTTCGACTATTTCCACATTTAGGTAAAAAAAAAAATGTTTCTGGATGTAATGCTTTGCGAAAGAATGCAAAGCACACAGGCTGCTATTGGCTGTTTCTGCCTTTCACGGGGTGGAACCTACGGAACAATTAACATAACGTGGGGACTCCGCATACCGTGCTGATCGCGCTTAAAAAGACGGACAGACCAATTCCAGTTTAGCGCATGTAGGCTTAAGAAACCGAGACCTCCAGCCAGGTACAGACAACATATTTCCATTTAAATGCACATTTAAAGCTTGAAGCATGCATAATACAAAATAAAAGAGTATAAACAGTACATTAAACACGTTACAGAATTGCTATTCTTTCACTATATGATCATTTTGCCACAGTAAACAATCCTGTAAGCCAAGACAAAAGTAATCAAAGTACAATAACTGAAAATGCTATATATGATAATTAAAATGCATTGATTTTATTTTTGCTTTTATTTATCATAGTTTAAAAACCGCTATGAAGGTGAGACGTTTGTTATCACAATCAATAATTGGAATTCTAAGAAAAGGATTAATGAAAAGACTGGTATTCAATAACTGGGGTGTTGTGTGAGTTTGCAGTTTAGAATTCTGCCAGTGATGGGCAGTGGTTCTTGTAGCAAGGCCCTTAACTCCAGTTGCTCCAGGGACTGGGTGACCCTGCTTTCCAAATCATACACCATTTTGGATGTACAATTTGGAGGCTGCTAAATAACACTAATTACCTGACAGTTTGGATTTACACAGTCTGTCAGAGAAATAGGTGATAGTCACTTGATCTGCCATTGTCTCAAATTTTAGAATAGAGCATAAGCACGTGTTTGCTAGCTTCTCCAATGGAAACAGTCTGTTTAACTGGTTTGGACCGACGTCTTTCTTGCATTTTGGTTGGGATCACAGTGACATGAATTTTCTGATGAATATGAAAATACCTCTGATGCCCCAACCACGTTTTGCTGTAAATTTATATGCCAGGACGCTAGGTGGCAGTAAACACATTTCCTCTGTCTTTACACTAAAAAAGACCGAACAGAAGCGTGGGAATAGATGAGTTTGTAAAGCATGAAACGGAACTTGAAAGAGGTAAAATTGGTTAGGCGTTTGCTTCTTATTTGCTTACATACGTTATTTGCCTTTAACTGAAACGATATTCACCGCAGGGCTTTTGATTTCAGCTCGCTAGCAACTGTCTAGGTGTTAAGGTGAATGGGTATTTCACTAGGAAGATCTCAAGCGATTATTGATTCTGGTGTGAAATTCACAAGTTTACTACTGTTTCTTTCTCTCAGTTACAGGTGTGCATAATAGATTTAATCACTCCCCGTATGCAAGCATGAAAACGCCAGTGTCTGTTTTGCGTTTGCCGCGGGGGCCGGATCCCAACAGTCGCGGCTTCGATCCGAATTCTGCTCGGTTCCTGGCCCTGTGTCCCACCACCGTGTCTGCCTCCTCTGCGGCGGACGCGCACGGTGTCGCGCTGCGGGACGAGCAGCGCGCCCGGTCGCTCCTGAGGGAGCGCTTCCTGCGGAGCCTCCTGGCCATGTGCGGCAGGCCGGTGCGCTTCAGCATGTACGAGAAGGTTCAGGTAGAGGCCAAATTTGGTGCCTCGGATATCGACGTGCTCAACTTCCAAGTTTCGGATTTGCAGACTCCGATCGGAGTACAAAAAGAAGCATTGCTACGTTGCCCAGATATCATTACGTACAACTTTGAAATCTGAGTTAGTGCTGGTGAACTAACCTGCTGTTGATTAACGGATTGTGAATGTTAGCGGTTTTTCTAAACACACTTAAAACATTTTCAATATATAAATAAAATGTAATATTAAGTGATACATTGTCTCTTTAATGAGAAGCATCAGTTCTGAATCGTTGAGTGAAATTGCTACCTGAAGATCTTTAAAATCTAGCACTGTCAGTCCAACTTTGCTGTGCTGTGCGCCATTTTTCCAATTTCTACTGAATGTCACCAGAGGGCGATGTTGACGATGTGTCTCGCAGATTAAAGTGTATGGGAGAAGACTTAACAGAACAGAACACTTCAATCTCTAGTGATTCTTCTGGAAATAGAGGAAATGACTACAGGTGGATTTCATATATAATTGTCTGGAAAACTTTTTTTATTCTGCTACTATAAGGAAATTGCCATTACATTTTCATTTCCAATTCTGTCACTTAGACTCTTCAGTATGTTCTGATATCTTTGGGGGTTTGAGGTGCTATGAGAATATGTATTAACATTGCAAACATATTAGTATATGATTTATGGACTTGTTCAAATATGTAGTGTATTTATTTTAAAATAAATCCTTGGTAATGTGAGCTCATCGACTGGTATCTGAGGTGTTCTTGTGATTGATGGTAAATGGCCTTTACTTAAGTTTTTGTACAAGGTTTGCTTTGAAATCCAGCATGTTTATCATGGTAAATATCCTATTGCAATAATGATTAGTGTCATTTCATCTGACATATTTTCGGGTTCTACGGTAAGTTTTTTTTTTTTTTGGCTTATATTAAGCCTATTGAAACTCAGCTCTTCCAGAATTATGAGTTTGTAATTTTATACAGAATTCTCGAAAGACAGAAATTGGCCATGTTGTAAAATAGGATCTCCTTTTGAAGCAGACCTTGTAAGTCAATTTCCTGGGGGCTCACGGTATGCTTAAGTTCTTAAGCGTGATGGTGGTGTTGATGGAAATCTGCTGAAGAAGGTTTGCGAGACGTTTGGGATCTCTTTCTCTGTATAAAGGCTCATTTATAGGTCTATCCAAAGATGGACATTGTAAAGCATTTTGATTGATGGTTACCTTATTCAAAGCTCTTGGACAATAAAATAAAATATATTTAACTTCAGTACTGGCATTGATTTACTAGTGGGTAGCAATAGATGAAGTGAAATCATAGGTGTAGATCCCTCTGTGCAAATAATTAAAGGTTCCACTGTTACCAGTTTTAATTGATGACTTTAAATCACTAATTTCTAATGGCTTGCTCATGCATAATGAAGTGTTTGATTGTAACAAGGGCACCACTGATGTGGCTTCAGCTGTATTTTAAGCCTGATGAGTCAATCCCTTGAATCAACACCCATACAAAGTATGTGACACATTTAAGCTGCGGTAATGGATCAGATGGTTTTGGTGGGAACTTCTGTGGAAGGATTCCTGTATCTTCCCTTCAGTGTTTGTTTTCCCTTAATTTCTTTTGGAAGTATATATATATATATATATATATATATATATATATATATATGGCTGGAATTGAGGCTGTTTCGCCACACTGGTACAGGAGTTCTGGCCTGTGCACTATCAGCTGAAAGGAAGCACATTCCTCACCTTCCTGTTTGCGGACCTCTTGCTTCCTGTCAAGTGCTGGGAAAAATGTCTGTGATGGCCTGCAAATATATATATATATAGACAGGTCTATCTCAATGTACATTTTTTGTGAAGGTGTTTCTTCTTGGGCTTACTCTTAGTTGTGCTTAAATGTTTAATAAAGCATTTTTTTTCTTTTATGGAACTAAATAATTTTTCTGTGATATATAAAAATAAACTGAATGCGAAAGAGTGTTGCAGTCTCTGGCTTTGGACGCCTGTTCAAGATGTATCACGTGCCGCTAAATGGCGCACAGCTCTGCTGTTGAATGAAATTTATGTTCCTCAAAGGTGAAAGCTTATGGCTGATCAGTGTATCCATCACCACTGTCCATCGCTGACCGCTGTGCTGGTTGGAGGTGTGAGGGATCAGCTGCAGACAGGCTTTTCAGTGGTGAGCTATACGTTACAGAGGAACTCCTCTGTGTTCCTCTGCTGTATTGCTTTTTAATCTTTCAATGCTGGCACCTCCTGGGACCCGAATCGCCATGTTTCCACACATCCTCACCTTCAGTGCATGATGACGGTGCTTCTTGGTGAAACGTTTGCCGTCATGCGAGCGGGTATGAATTTCGCTGTGCGGTCGGCAAACCCGTATTACCCAAAATTGCTCATTGCTGACTCTTCAGATGGAATCAGATGGACGTCTGGCTTAGTTGTCATTAACTTCAGTACTCTACTCTTGCAATTCTAGGTCATACCAAGTTAGAAGTTCTCCAGGTGTTTGGCTACCATGGCAACACTTTGCTATTTTTCTGTACAGCATGCTTTCAGAGGGAAAGTGATTATAGAGTGAAAGACCAGGTTTATCATCAAGCGTCTCTAATTAAATCGGGGAAATTAAGGGTGGTTAATGCATCGCGGGTGTGTCCTCCTCCAAGTCTAATTATGTTGAAGGAAAATCAAATAGTTAAACTTGTTTAGCTCAGTTACCCTGACACATGTGGAACAGAGAGGATGCGGAATGCTGCCCTCTGATCTAATAGACATTTCTGCGTATTTTGAAATGCAACTAAAACAAACAGCCCTAAAATCCTTCCTTTACTTAAGGCACAATGACAGACTGCAGCATAGACAAGATTGATGTTCTCTGTTGGGAGAGAATCTCATGCTTTTCACTTGAACCTTCTTTCATCTGTCCTCTTTCATCTGTAATCGTCTCTCTCTACCTGAACGTAAGTTGTAATCATGTTGCTGCATACAGAATTCGGCACCTCTGAGTGAAGAACCCAGCATATGTCACAAACATATTGCCTGCTCCACGTGAATTCGCATGTAGGATAATGCTCATTGTCACCTTGGTTTAAGAACCACTGCGGATCAAATTTTGTTGTTCCCGGAATGAGCTCTAGCCACTAATATATCTTTCTGGGGACCAACCTAAACAGGAGGCCGAATTTTGGGAATGTAAGTCATGAATTTCATTTCCAACAGACGAATCAACACTGAGGAATTATTCATTTTCATGGGACCCCAGCAGAAGTTTCGTTACTAAGTGTCCGTTTTCGCCCAGGGATCTCCAAATTGTCACTAGCGTGAGGCATTTAAAGTTAAAGAATCCATGTTTATTTTCTTTACATATAGGCCCATTAGTGTTGGGCTGTCTCGGACCTGGCCTGAACACTTGGTTCCCTGCCTGACCCGCGGCTCTGTTTTGTTTCTACGGGGGAAAGGGGGGTCCAGGCTGGGGAGTGTTTACTGGACGGTGCCCATTGTGGTGTCAGCAGAGCGGGGACTGAGTCACTGGCCACTTCCATATTTGTTTTGTCCACTGGGGAATGTTGGAGTCACTCCAGGGATTGTAATGGTGCAGGAGTGTTTGTGGCCCTTGTGGAATGGGGCAATACCATGCATTTCTTCTCGCTGAGTGTCGCTGATGATAAGTAAGGAACCTGTTCCTATGCTATAGATAACGGACCCATTTGGTTCTGCGAGGAGAAATGCTTGCCCAGGAACCTGGCAAGACAAAAATGAGATAAAAGGCAGAATGTTCTGGTGTCCGACATCCCTCTTCCTGTTTAAATCGAGACGTCGAGACAACGGCTTGGAAACACTCCTGAGCCAACCTGTCACACTTCCCTCTTTTATAAGCCTTGTATCTGTTGGATGATTGTCTATTTGTTTTCACCAGAATGTGCTGTCCTATCAGATGGCAGAGTTCATTCTGTGTCGCTCAGGAATTATGGGAAAATATTCAGCAGCAAGTTTGAGGTAGTAGGTGCATGTGTTTGGAAAGCTCAACCAAGGGACTAGATCTACCCATAGGTCCATGTGCTTTGGCATGAAGTCATTACGAATGGGTGATCCAACATTTTAGAGAAAGTAGGCCTGCGTTCGGGAATGATAACACTAAAGGGTTATCTATGAAAAATATGGACTGTTATTTACCGTTTAACTCTGCAGATTTCATAACTTAAATCCAGGAATGTAAGATGCCACCTTCTTTCAGCAGACCATTAGAATATAGTTTATAACTTTCCTTGTTTTTCATTTTTATTGCCAATGAATGCAACTTCTAATGGGAATGTATTTAATTTATGTTTTTAGTGTAGAATTATTTTAGAATTAAAATTTTGTGTCTGGAAGGAAGAAAGAACAATCTGAAGATGTAACTTGCTGACAGAAAACAGGAGGATTTCATTACTGGTGCTTCTCGACTTACGATGGGGTTACGTTCCGATGAATCCATCGTTAGCGGTAAATATTGTAAGTCGAATATGAATATGATATGAATAAGTAAACAAATAACTACTGTTGCTTAACTTCTAAGTAAACAAATAATTACTGTAACTAACTAAATATTGGTAACTGAAAAGTAAATAAATGCATGTTTGGGGAAAAAACTGTACACTATGTTGTTAAACATTGTATGAAATCTTTACGCTCACGATCGCTACATATTACTTTTTTTTATTAATCAACCATCTCACTGTTTTCATTGCAGGTAGGTTGACATGTATGTAATAAAATGAAATGTGAGTATTACAGTACATATCGCCAGATGCTCAAAGTCCTGTCTGGTGAACGACTGGACAATGGAAATGTGTGATGTTGTTCCCTTATGTGTGATACACGGACAGCTTTAGCTGAATGTGTCAACGAGCATGGCTTACAGGGACGAATAAGGAAATGACAATGAGAGTCTGGGGACACCATGAAGAGTTGGGCATCCTTCGCAAGGTGGTTGGGTGTGTGGCACTGGTTTAGTCTAGACAGGAAGCGGTGATATATGGGCTCTAATTACTGAGAGATGTATCAGGATGCTTTCATCTACATGAAAGCCCAGGGGCCCTCCCCAGACTAAACACAGGAGGGGATCTAACTAATGAGAGTCGGAGATACCGCCCTCAAGCAGAAGTCCTCGTGGTCCGAACCTCGCCCGTGACACGGGGGAAAACTGCGAGCCCAGAGTTGTCTAGAACATTCCTGTAATCAACCAACCTTGAAACTAGAAAGCCCAGCCCAATACTCGCACACTGTCTTCTGTCATCCTCTTGGTGGTAAAGGCTACATATGTTTCAGCGGACACTCTACTCTCAGCCTTTCACATCTATGTTTTCTGGAGATGAAGTACAAGTTTGCTGCCTTTCCATAGCGTTAATACTGGCCCTGTACTTTGTACCCAATCATGGTTCCCCAATTCCTGGAGAGCCAGAATCCAACACAGTTTGCACATTTACTTGTTCGAACGCACCTACTAAACCTGGTAATTAAATGATGAAGATGTGTTTGAGCAGCTATGCTGGGTTCTGGATCTCCAGGACTGGATCTGGGGAACCATCTACCAGACCAGCACATCTGCTTAAGAATCTCCTTTAGCTGTGTAAGGTATAACTTGCCCCAAATCACTTCTATTGTGGCAGCTGACAATTTAATTCCAAGGAACTTCTGAATCACAGTCCTGGTGGTCATAATGTGTGTAGCTGTCTGGTTGTCATTAACCTACTGATTACCAGTATGACTTCTCCCAAAGTCCTGCATAGACTGAGCAGGACTTGGGTTAAGAACTACCACTCAGTGGCCAAAAGTTTATTTTCATGAGCTGTTTCCGTATGTGGACCTAAAATTGCATGGCGAGATTTGGACCGGAACATTTGTGATGTTCTCCATGGAAAAAATAACCCCTGTTCATCCATCCATTTTCTAACCACTCATCCAGTACAGAGTCATAATGAGCCTGGACCCGATCCCAGGTAGCACAGAGTACAAGGCAGGGACACCTTGGATGGGACACACACACACACACACGCGCACGCACACACGCACACACACACACACACACACACACATATGTTTGCATTCATATCTTTCTGGAGTCTGTCCATTCATTTCTATGGGAAAAACCCTAATCCCAATAACGACACCCTTAACCCCTAACCCAGCCCTAACCTTAACCATAAGTAACCAGACAAAACAGAAGACTTTTGGCTGTTTTAGGTTTTGGATTGCATTCACAGATTTTTATAAAATTGAGGGGAA